GTAAGTCCACTGCTGTTTATCTGAAGTTGCAAGCCACAAATTAACGTTTAACTATGATTATTGCATGGTCATTTTCTTGTGAAATATTAGTGCTAGGCATTTCACACTTACCAATGACCATCCCTAAAAGTACCATCTCTGAACCATATAAGCAACTCAGAATAGCCAAAGCTTTTATGGTTTGGTAGATAGCAGTATGGCGAAAGCGTCGTTTTGGGTGTGGTCAGTTTCGGACGTTTCGCCCCGGATTGGGGTTCGGGCAGCGTTACCATGTTGACCGTCATGGTCAACTTGCCCTAAAACAGTTGAGATTATCTGTCCTAAATGAAATGCATACAAACTCATATACGGGTCCTAGACTAAGACAAACAAAACTATTCACAAACGTTATAATAAAGTGTAAATATTACTGCATGTAAATATAACTGTAGTACGTTAATATGTATAATAAATTGTATTTCACATTGTGTTTGTTAAAAAAATTTGAAATGTTTGTTGATATTCGTTGTCCAATCAGGGTTGAGTGTATTTTGAGTTGTTCAACGACTTCCGCTTTTTGCACAGCAAACCCGGCACGCGGATATACTTTGGCCGAATTTTGTTATTCCCTCACGGATTTCAGAGCGAATTTAAGCTCTTTGATTAAAGCATCGTTGTTTTGAGAGTTTTACTGTATCATTCTTGCAGGGGATATCGATTAATCGTGAAAGAAATGCATTAAAAGCGAAAAATCGAGGATAGTTTCGTGTGACATATGCCAAGTCTGGGCTATTTTGGTCTCAATGTCTCCTTCCTTCCCACGTTATAAGGAAGGCACAGGCGGGCGCGGGCAAATCGAGCCTGGGCCTCTGTGCTCAAACGTTTGGTGAAAGCTTCCATTACCTTTGTTTCCGAAGCTTTTTCCAAAGCACGATCAAAGTCTAGACATAAACGCCCGTCTCTTTCCATCGTAAGACCATGAAGATGCGTTTGGGACAGATGCTCTGCCGTGCATCCGTTACAGTTTTGCATTTACAAGTTAACAAATTGTAGAGGTGAGTTACTTAAACTGTGTTTCAAAGTTTAAACCTTTTGATAAGTATAAACATCTTGTCAAAAAGGATGGTCCGAGTCTTAAACAACTGCAAACGGGGAAATTTTATCACGCGGGTTGGAAAGGTTTTAAAGCTATGAATACTTTACGGTGGCCCATACGGGCCAACCCTTCTCCGTACAAACTTGCACCTTCTCCGTACAAATGTGTTGTTATTCCATGAAAATCAAACTTCTCCGTGGAATATTGCCGTTGTTCTGTCAGGCAGAGATTTTGATCGTTTATAGCTTTTGTAGAGTTGATACTCGTAAGTATACATACTAAGTTTTACTTTTTTATATTTATGTTTAATATCATTTTTTATTTGTGGATTTATATTTTATAAATTGAGTGGATATACAAATACCTACACTAGCAGATCCGTATACGAGACTGACTGACAGATTAATATGGTGTATATTTAAATATTCAATTTATAAAAGTATAAATCCACAAATAAAAATGATATTAAACATAAATATAAAAAGTAAAACTTAGTATGTATA